TGGATTCAGGGTACCCTTTTTTGAAGGGAATTGATAGAACTACTCTAGAATAAAGCGATAACAGCGAAAAAAGCGCAAAAAACGATGAACAAAAAGAATTACAAAGGGCCAAAAAAGGAGCTGGAAAGGGGGGTTGGACGAGTTTCACATTGAAATAGCGGCGGTTAGGGAGTGTTCAGGCAAATTGGCAAATTGCCAGAGACGGCAGCTTATCGACTTTTCACCAACTTCGCTCCAATGCGAATGTGGTGAAGGCCAATTTGAATTCGTAGTCAGCCTAGCGAGGGGCGGAGGGCGACCGTTGATAACTCTCCGGCCCCTTGTGCCCTATCCAGCCGTTTTCCGACCTCATTTCTGCACAAATGGTATCAGAGGGGGCGTCGAATTCAAACCATGTGCAAATCTCCGAAACCATTTTTTCGTGAACAGTGCCTATAAGATGTGGATCTGTTCCCAGAACAAAATCAGTGCCATAGAACCTTTCACTTCTCCTAGATTGATCATAGCGGGAGAGGATCAGGATGGTTGCTGGTACATTATTTAGACTTTATAGACTATTTTGTACCCAGACATAAATTCAGGGAAATATGCCCATTCAGGGAAATTCGGGGAATCTGATGGGAGTCGATAAATGGCTCTCCCTAGAGATTTGCTGGTTTCTAGGGTAAACGAGAATGAGTATTGACACTGATAAACTCGAATGGTTCTAATATAGAAATTCACTTTTGTTCTCTGTTCGATTTAGAAAATATTTTCTTATTACTACTAAATATGAAAAAGCACTCAATAAAGGGTGTCCAGTTCAAAATTATCTGTGGAAATTATCGTTCATGGCAGACAATCTATTGATGGGCCCAGTTGATGTAGGCAGTTTTTCACAAGGTCCATTATTAACGTGAACTAGGTTAGGTTACCGAACCCCAGTTGATAGATGGAGAACTCCCAGCGACGGTCGGCGATCCCGACGCGGATATGGACCAGGGGCCCTTCACCTTCGTGCAGGCCCACCAATTCACCTTACTGTTTCGGAAGAAAATCAAGTGCGAACCTCAGAGGAGTTGCTTTACATCGGCCATCGGTCTATTCCTTATAAGAGAAAATTGAGGACGGTCAACAATTCTTTATGGGTGGTCTCGTTATGTGAACGATCTAAGAAGGCGAAAACCAGGTCACCGGGTCGTCGAGTTCGAATTAGGCCGTCCCCATCGCTCCGATTGCATCTCTTTCGTTGAGAAACTTCACCCACGCTGCTGCTACTGTCGCCTGTCGCCCGCCCGTTGACGATGACGACGACGACGACGACGTTTATGATGACCGGTCATTTCACTTTTCTCCGTTCCAGCTCATTACGACAGCGACACGCTTTCACTACTCAAGAATAATACGGTCCAGGATACTTCGTTAATGGCCTGGGACAGTCCATTACGATGAGGTGGGTTCATTTAATAATCGGTCATTGATTTCCGCTTAAATCGGTGGTCCCGTTCAGTTTCAGCTGAAATGGAAATTTTTGCTGCGAAATTATTCTTGTAAGTGAAATCGATTTTATATTTCAAATATAATGTCGCTTTTTCTTCTTCGACCAGTTTGATAAGTGAGTCAGTGAGTAGAAGAGGCAAAGTGAGTAAAACTGCCGTCTTGCACTCGACAGAGGCTGCAGGACCGACTATTTCGACTGTAGCCCTGCTTTGCATCGCAGTAGTAAATAGAGTCAGGCTACCATTCCCGGTACAAAGAGGTAGCAGCCTTACTCTCAGCATTAGTTCGCCTTTTGTGAGGCACACAATCAAATCCACGTGTGCTGCTGTATGGAGGGCGTCTTCGTGGCCCACACCAAAGCCGATGAAGGCGAAGTTCGAAACAGAAATCGTTTTCAATAAGATTCCTCCATGGAATAAACCTGTGACCCCCAGAAGTACAAGGGACGCTATTGCGTTGGAAAACGGCCTGGATAGGAAGTAATAAGATTCCAAGATCCTCCCAGCCGACGTACACGCCCAAGGTGGACGAGTTTCACGACGTCGTAGAAGCTGTAGAAGTTGCACCATTCGCTTCTGGATGCACACGTTGCACGCAGACAATTTACTTTAGCCAGCTGTACGCAAAGGCGCTCACATGTGGACAGCTCGTCCAAATGCCCTTCTCATGCAAATTTTGTTATCACATTCTCGTCCAATACCTTTTGAAGCATTATATCTCTCTAAATACCACCTGTATATCTCCTTACACCTTTAAATAGCCTGTGTTTCTCTAAATCGTCTGTACACTAACCTATCACTCGATTTTCGCGTTTCCTTCGAAACGTTTGTACTATTCTGGACTAATAACTCCACTTTCGTCCTTAACTAGATTCCGATTCGTATCGTGAATTGTGCCCCCCAGGATATCTACCATTTTCTTAACAGAGCTTTTCCCAAAGCTTTCTAGGTTGCTCAGTCGGCTCAGTCGACATTTCCATAGATTACGATGCTGTTTCATAGAAATGAGGCCGGGATAAATCACTTCTGTCGACCTACTCAGAACTTGCTTACTTCGAGAGGTACGGTAGGGAACTGGTAACCGCTAGGTAATCCGGTCTGTTCGCAGGAAATCAATCACTTGATTTTCCGAGTGAAATAAGAAATTTCAGTAACCATTTATTGATTCTCCTCTATGTAGTGGGTGTGTCCGATACTTTTTTGTGCAAGTGAAGCTACATATGTGGCCCAAGTATTCCAGAGTTTTTACAAAATTGCCTTCCTAAGAAGCCTGAATGCAAATCGTGGCTTAGGAGTTTCCTTGAGCTGCGTTAATGTTTTTTCCAAGCAGCTTGCATACCGGATTGGACGGTCAAAAAAACTTCTGTTGAGGAGACTGGACGCATCCAATCCACTGCAGCTATTTCACATCAAGGTTTACACCTCTA